AAATTATTCTATCATCCTAATAGTCAAGCAAAATGTCAGAAAGTGAGGTATTTAACATTTCTAACAAAATGTTTACATTATTTAAGGAATGTGAGCAAAATAAAGATATGCACATTTATATATGAAAGATATAGTATATACATAGTAAAATATACATATGAAAAATATTTAATTTATATTCACATATAATTGCCATTTTATAGGAGAAAAATTTAAACTAAATACAAAAATTTTCTTATCTCTTTCTCGCAGTCTCAATCCCTAATTGTTTTTCACATCATTATATTTTAAAGAAATAGATTTTACCAAATCAAGTCCTCATCCATTTATTCATTCATTCATTTTGAATCATTACTTCAACTAATTCATACAGAGTACCAACTATCAACAATGTTACAGGTACTAAGGATACTTCATGGTACCTATATGGAAGGTTATAGTTTCTGCCTTCCTTCAGTTTAGAGTCTATGGGGAAGGAAGACATTTAACCAATGATGACACAAAAATATAAATCTGAAATTGTGGTGAAAGCCAAGAAGGTAAAAGAATAGGGACCTAATTTGGACTTGGGAGTCAGGAAAGATCTCTCTGAAAAATGACGTTTAGGAGGAAGCTGCAGGGGTGAGTAGAAATTAACCAGTCCAGGTGAATGAGAATATGCATTCCAGGCAGAGAGAGCAGCATACATAAAAACACTCAGAAAACAAAGTGCTTTGGAGATTGGGAATCTAAAAGTCTTCACCTTGTGAGTGTGAAGGGAGTCTGGAGACCTAGGTCTTACAGACCCAGTCAAGTATTTGGGATTTTATTTAAAGAACTCTGGTCAATTTTGCAGTAATTTAAGCAAGATAGTAATATCATCAGATTTACATCTTTCAAAGAGAACTCTAACATTATATTGTGAATCAACTGATTCACAAAACAGAGACTTGGCAGTAGTTTCAATGAGAAAAGATTAAATGAGGGTGGTAACAATGGAAATAGTGAAAAAGAAACAGGTTCAAGATACATTTTGGAGGACAGACCAAACTCAATAATGGAATAGACCAAATTCAGTAATGGAGTAAATATAAGTAAACAAAGGAGAGGTAAGTGGCAAAGGTGATAATCTGATTTATGGAATGTGCACGAGGGTGGATGAAGATGGCATTCACCGAGTGGAAGAGGAATTTAAGCATTTAGTTTTGAGAGAAAAGGAGTTATCAGAATATAGGAGTTAGAGAAAGAACAGCCGGAAAGGGTGAAAGGAAAACCAGAAAATATGTGTCACAGAGGCCAAGAAAATAAATTGTTTCCTGCAGATCATCATGGTCAGTATTGCTGCATATCAAGCAATAATGGAGCCTGAAAATAGTTCATTGGAAAACAAACACAATCTAAATGGAATAGTAGAGGCAAAAGCTGATTGACAAGCACATGAGGGGAGTTGAAAGGATGAGAAATTAGAGGAATTAAAGGAAGCATACACAGTTAACTTTTCTGAGAAGCATGCCCAGGAAAGGGAGCAGAAAGAGTGGTAAATGAAATATGGTGAATTAAAGATGGATAAGATCAGAACATATTTTGAATGCTTTTGGGAAAAGCCATTTAAAAAGTAAGATGATCAAAATTCAATAAAGAGGGAAGAAGAATATTAGAACAAATACATGTTCCTCACCTTGTTCTACAAAAGCCTCCTTGAGGGTCCCTCATCAGGTCTCTGGCTGATCTTACAATGCTCTTCCCTCTGTTCTCTTCCTTGGGCATGCTAAGAATTCTTCCAGGACCTTCAGCTTTGGAACCTTTGCACAAGCCCTACCTTCACAGGAATTCTCTTCCCCCTGTTAGTTGCTGGGCTGACCCTTCTCTGTTATCCAGGTCTTAGTTCTGGAAATGACCTCCCTGACCATCCACTGAATTCAAAGCCATCTCCAAATCTTCACATCCGGTTCCTTCTTATAATTCAGGCTCAGCTTCAGTATCCTTAGTGAAACCACCCCCAACCATCACCCAGTGTAAATTAGTAATCCTCCCCCATCCACTCAGTCATGCTGTTAACTGTTAGCATAGCAGATATCACATTTTCTTGTTTATGTATGTGTTTATATGTTTATGGTATATCACTTCCCTCTAGAATGTAGACCGTATGAAAGCAGGGGTCTCATTTTACTTGTTCAATGCCATATCCTCAGAATGTATGACAGTGCCTGGCATACAGTAGGGTGCTCAATAGAAGTTCATGTATTGGTTGGATGGTGAGTTCAATTTATGAGTCTGTCTTCTTAGAAAACATCTAGAAATTAAAAGGCACATTATTATAAGTTTTAATCAAATTCAGCACAAATATACAGGTAACAGATTAGGGGACTATAGTGAATAACATTATAATTTTGAAAATATTATAAAGGATTTCTTTTTAATAGATAATCTTAATGATTCTGTTATCTCATCATAATATCTACTCTAACTTTCATCCCTCAGTTATGTACTACCTAATAGCAAGAGGTTTTTTGGAAGTACTTTGCTATTAGAAAGTAGTCAGTCTAGGGTGCCTGGGTGGCTCAGTCAGTTAAGTGCCTACCTTTGGCTCAGGCCATGATCCTAGAGTCCTGGGATAGAGTCCCACAGCAGACTCCCTGCTGAGTAGGGAGCCTGCTTCTTCCTCTCCCTCTGCCTCTCCTCCCCATTCGTCCTCTCTCTCTCTCAAATAAATAAATAAAATCTTAAAAAAAAAAAAAGAAAATAGTCTAGTGTAAAAAATTTACTATGGATAATCCATTTGGTGGATAAAACCTATGTATGAACTCAAGAGTGTATTTATATTCAGCAAACATTTATCAAGCCATGTACTATCCTAGGCATAATGGGATTAAAAAATGAATAAAATACGGGCGCCTGGGTGGCTCAGTTGGTTAAGCGACTGCCTTCGGCTCAGGTCATGATCCTGGAGTCCCTGGATCGAGTCCCGCATCGGGCTCCCTGCTCGGCAGGGAGCCTGCTTCTCCCTCTGACCCTCCCCCCTCTCATGTGCTCTCTGTCTCTCTCATTCTCTCTGTCTCAGATAAATAAATAAAATATTTAAAAAAAATGAATAAAATGCAATAGATTGATCTCTATTAACTCAAAGATCTGTGAGTGATTAGAGATACAAAAGTTAACGAGACTGTTCTTTGAAAAGACTATAATACAGTTTGAACAAAGTAATGAGAGGTCCATTTGTTTTAACACCTCTGGGCCATGAGCTCTCACTTATATGAATTTAGACACCATACAAATGCTTTCATTCCTCTTAGGGGCAAATCATTAATACGAAATTCAGTTACCCTGGTATATAACACCTTTCCCCATATCAAGTGAATGTCATTTTCACAAAGAAGGGGGAGGGAGAAGGCTATTTTTGATGCCAGGGTTTCAGTGGAGCAATTAAGCATTGGCTGTAATAGGAGGAGGTTGCCATATGAAAAGAAGTACAACAAAGAGAATTATCGTGCTCAATGGTTGTGCAATGTCAGCTTATTATTTCTGGAAGGGCCTTAATATTAGAAAATGACTCTTCTTGAGTTACAGGGCCTGTAAAGCCAAGTAACTCAGAAAATACTGAGAAGGAATACAGGAGAAAATAATACAAAAATAAATAGCAATAGAAATTGTGTTGAGCTGAGCATGACCTTTGGAAAGAGAGGGAAGATTTTTGCATATCTAAGAAAATCTCATCACAGGCCTCCCTGAAAGATTAAAATGATTTCAATATTTTCCCATTTATTTAATGCAAACAGGTATGGCTTGCTCTGACAAAACGTCACATTTCCTACTCAGGTGCTATTATGCAGAGACAGAACAAGTTTATATGGGTTGCTCAAAGTCATTCTTAAAGACCAAGAATAAGTGCTGAAAATAATGATTGGAAATGTTTGTGTGCCAGAGATCTTTTTCTCGCAAACATTTCTTTGGGCTTATTTCGTCTCAAAGGATTGGAAAGCATTATTAGCAATATATCTCATTCAAACAATAATGAGGAAACAGGTCATTCACCTTTTGAAAACTGCAGTATCTATTTAGATGTCATTTATCAGCTGTTCAATGGAAAGATTGAGGCAAAAGCAGAGGGAGGAATATTTCTGCACCCAGAGATTTCTGGATGAAAAAGAAGTATTCCTCTATATATTACTTCATATCTAGTTAACAGCACAGAATACAACTACTTTACCAATTTTAAATTTAGCACATAAAGTATGAATTTCCAAAATATTTTGAAATTGTTATGAGAAAGCTATCCTAAATATAATAAGTAAAAGCAGTATAAATACAGATTTGCTAACATTAAACTAGAGGGAAGCGTTTCCGTATCTTTCAAAGAAATTTCGAGTCATTAAGCAGTATTAATTCTTCTATCCAAATTTTTTGCTATAATAAACCAGTGACACTTACATACTAACTAAAGCATAATACAGAATGCAATGGCTCTTCTGTTTTGTTTTTTTGCTCAGTGTCTAGCTTCTAAAAAGCAAAAGGCTATATAAAGAAAAGTGTATTATTTGAAAACAGAAATAAAATGCTGTTTTATCAGAAATTTCCACAAGGAAAAATGAAGAAAATCTGATTTTTTGCTTTTTTGTGTGTGCATGCCTTCAGTCTGTTCCCACACTTGCAAGTAGCAACTTTAAACCTCTTGTTCCTTCTTTGTTACCCTGCAAAGACCTTGTTTCTTTCCACTATTTCACAGTGAGCACGAGCGACTCATTTATAGATGGTTCCAGATTCAATCCATTTTGCTGCATGTTGAAATTAAAAAAAAAAAAGGTAAAAAACACCCTGCTTTAGTATGACTGGCCGGTTGTAATATATTTTACACGTCTGAGACCAAAAAATGTTCTGCTTTCAAGTTACTGCTTAAAATTGTCCCAGGCTATGGGTTTTAAGGTCACATTATGAATTTTTCCACATTTATGATTTCGACACATTTTATATTTAGCCTTTTGTGAAGAAGAATTTGTCTTTACCTTGAGCTGTGTTTGTGCTAGGCCATAAAATCAAGTGGTGACCCAGTGGAATCAATGGGGATGTTAAAGAGACTACAGCAAAAGGTCCAGACCAAGAAAGCCAGGGTGCCGAGTCTGAAGGAGATGAGACCTACATTCATAAATCTCCGTAAGTCAGCAGTCAAAATGCTGCTAAAAGTTCTTTGAGAAAGAACTGGGGTAGCGTATATGAAATGAAGGCCATTTTGATAAGGCTGTAAAATAATCATTAAACGTTGAGGGTTTTTAAATTACCAATTTATTTGTGAAACAGATATCCTTAACCTATTCCTGAATTTTCCTTTATATACCCCATATCTCCTTCCCTTCAAGACCAGACTCAGGGATAGAGTGGGAGAAAGAGATAGTTAGATCAGCACTGTCCACTATCCCCATTCTTTGGCCATGGAAAGCAGTATCTTTCAATTTTGATGTGCAACTTAGACGTTCATTTATTTATTCACAATTACATGCTATTGATCATAATCTTTCATTTACACCAGTTAAACATTTGAACTGAAAGAGATTCAATGATACGGTACAATTTACTATGGGTAATACATATTTCTAATTTCTGTAACTGTTTTATATATTACCAGAGATTTCATGAGACCCTTCACCACATGTAAATATATGTCTCACTAATCAACTTCGTAGTATTAAAGATATACCTTCTTTTTGTTGTTTTCTCAGTCTTGATCTTCCTTTTCAAAAATATTTCACTGTGACAAATACTGTATGCATAAATGTCTTTATAGATTGATACCAGGAAAAAAATTAGAATCAATAGGATTTCAGCCCATGTACACTGAGATTTCATTTTCTTATGAAACAGGAATATTTCATCTACTTCCTTATGATGCTGTCTATACACATTACCTCAAAAAATTTAAAAAAAAATTAAGAATATAAGCATACCATATCATGTCTATATGATGTGGGGAATTTTTTTAATTTAAAATTGTAATTTTTCTGAATCTTTCAGTATACTATTTACATGTGGCTTTCAGTCATTGTAGTCAAACTGAATTTAATCATTATATACAGCTTCAAAATATTTTAGGTAAACTTATCTTTACAAAACAAAGCATTTACTATACAAAAGATCACTCTTTAAAGAATTGCAGTTATAAATTATTTTGTTAAATTAAATGACTTCCCGTTTTATGCTGTGGTGTTCACTCATTTCTACTATAGAAAAGGAAATACAATATTCATAATTTCTACATGTGCAAAAGTATTAGACAGACTTACTTATTTTTCTTTGTCATTCAGAAGATGAAGATGAAACGTTGATTTCCTGTATAAAATTAGCCAAATCCCAAGAAAAGAAAATTAGTACTGTTAGCACAAAAGGAAAGGAAGAAATGACGATTGGATTGGATTCTATTTCGGCATCACTGGCTAGATCCAGCACTGCAACTGGTTGCAACTTGGCCGACATGTTATCCCACAATGAAGGTGAAGTTCAGATGTGGAACAGCTGGAAGACTTTTCCAGAAAACCCTCTCTGGACATGTGCTGATTTCCAAATTGCCCAAACTGGACCCTGGAACAACTGTTCTCGCTGCACTCACCACCCACCACTTAAGCCTTCTTATACAGATTCGGATCTCCCACACTCTTGGGTAAGTTTGTAAGCCAAAGCAATGTATGATCTCATCTGGATGTTTTAACGAAAGTGCTAATCAGTCAAATTTATCAGTATCAGGAAAGTTACTAGAACTAGAGTTGTCTTTCCAAAAACCAATGTAGCTCTTGTGACTTTTGCTATCATGTTACTATTGTGTATATACCTCGTGTTCAAATAAACTACTGCACAGTATTTTTTAGAGATTTTTTTTTTTTTTTTTTTTTAGTTGAGGGAAGACTTTGGATGTTCATTCAGATCAAGATGTGGATTGAATTGTCTAAATCACTGCGGTGGTCATGAAGTTTCACTGACAAATAATAGCTAATTTAAATAAGCGTTTTCCATGTGCCTGCCATTCTTCTAAGTACTTTATTATTTTATTTAAATCTCACAACAACCCTGTAAGGTAGGGAAAGTTATTCTAATACTGATTTCCCCATTTTATGATTGAGAAAAATGAGGCACAAAAAAGTTAGCAACAGGTACAATATCACAGAGCTAACAAAAAGTGGAGCCAAGATCTAGAACCTAGACAGTCTTATGCTAAGGATCCTGCTTTTAGCTAATATATTGTAGTGTTTCCCATACACTAAACTAGGCCCTAAGGCAATATGGTGCAAGAGAAAGAGTATGGACTCTGGAGTTACACAAAATTGGGTTTGCATCCAAGCTCTGCTACTTGTTTGGCTTGGGCAAATGATTAAAACCTTTCAACTTATTTTTCCCAATTATAAAATGGAAATAGTAATATTAAATTCATGAGGTAATTGAGAAACCGAAACTAAATAACACAAATATCCTAGGACTTAAGAGTAATTTTTGTTCACCTTGATTGTAGGTTACTTAAGGCATGTGTTTTGTACCTTCATTTCTCTACAGTTCATGGTCATTTGTACTTGTAGTGAATAAATGGAACAACTTTGTGTTTCTAGGATCCCTACTCTATACCATTTTGCTCTAAGAATCCGTCTCTCACTAGACAGATGCTACATTTCATGGTGCATTAGAGCTCTCTGAAGAGGCTTGGAGTCCTTTTCACCTTTCAAGACTTGTGTATTAAGTTAGGTCTTTGCAGACTAGAGCTAAAGTAATCTGTGTTCAAAGTACCACATTAAATATTACAGGTGTCTAGCAGCAGACTTGGAACTGATAAAACTGTCCAACATCAATTATTTTTAGGAACGTCTCTGCCACTTCCTTAGCTTCATCTTCTTTTTTGGGGCCACTGGACTTAGCAGCCTTCTTCCTGGAGTACTTTCTTAGAGAGCAGCTGGTTAATATAATTAGGAACTACTTCTGAAGACTCCTCTTGACAGCTTCAGAATCAGGATCAAGAATAATGACTACTTGGCAAGTAGTAAAGCTGGTGTATAAGAATCTAAATTCACATATTTAGAGCTTCTTTTAAGAGTAAAATCTGGAATCCTTAACTTGGCAGTCCTGGATTTTAGCAATCTGACCTCAACCTAACTGTTCAGCATTGTCTACAACTTCTTCCTTGTGTATTTCCTGTGCTGGACTGCCAAACTGGAATGATTTGCTTATTCCTAATGACTGTCTTGTACTTTCCTGCCTCTCCATCTTTGTGTTTACGTATTGGCCTCCACCTAGCATGTTATCCTCGCCTTTAACCATTAGCCTAGCCCTTAAGACTCAGATTACTTTGTTGTCCTTTAGAAAGACTTCCTGGGTCATGCCAGATTGAAGTAATCACTCCTTCCTTTGAAATTCTAGAGAATTTAAAGGCATTATTCTTCCATTATATATTTATCAAACTCATATTGGCGTCACTGTGGATCAGTTTGCAGTATTGGGCACTGGGGCACATACACTGCCCCTGTCTTCACGGAGCTCACCGTACTCTACCTTACAGTGGAATTAGTTGAGCATTTGTTTATTTGCTATAGGTAATTTATCTTTGTATCCTCCATAGTCCCTAAAATATGATGGGTCCTCGATTAATATTTGAGTGCATTTGCTAACTAAATGAATGGAGCTTGAGAAACCAATGGATTTTGTTTCCATAGACCTACATAAAATATTTGTCCCCATTCTTCTGTTCTTATATTAATCCAATTACACATAAACTCAGTTATTGTCTATGTGTGTCTATGAATGTGTGTCTATATTTAATTATATATACATAGTAATGTTTTTCTTTTCGTGGTGGTTTTGTCTGTTTTAGTACATAACTAAATGATTAAGTAAATGAGTTTTATCTGCAGAAGGTCAAACATAGCTACAGAATACTCAGAATTTCAGATGATAATGTTCAGCATTTGTGACAGGAAAACCTCACTGGATTTGGAGAGAGAGTTCAAGAACATGCTAGAGTTAAATTGGTTTGGTAACCTTAATGAGACCACTTACACTCAGGGATTTGAGACACAGAATGAAAGAAGTTGGATGAGTGCAAATTATTATTTTTATATTCTACACATATATTCTATAATAATACCAAGTGAAAAATACCCACTTTCATTTTAGCATAGCTGGTATTTTTTTCTGTAGTAATTGCAGGGTTATTATTTGGGTTATACTTTAACTTTCATTCTATAGAAGGTACAGAAGGCAAATGGCGTTGAGGGAAAAGTTGTGCTTCTGAAATGAGTGTTACTTACCATCAATGACAGGTAGTCAGAGGTGACATTTTTGCAATTTTAAAGGGTAAAAGTGTGACCATATTTTTTTTTAAATCTACCAACATATGCAGATATGCTGGAGCTGAGCCAAAACCCCACATTTCAGGGAAAATGAAACCAGTCCACAAAGACACTAGTTTCTCCTTGACTTGAGAAATTTCAGCAACAGTAGATTCCAGTGTCTTTGATCCTGTTATCAAAGCAGGTTTTTTTTGTTTGTTTGTTTTTAAAGATTTTATTTATTTATTCATGAGAGACAGAGAGAGAGAGAGGCAGAGGGAGAAGCAGGCTCCCAAGGAACAGAGAGCCCGACGCGGGACTCAATCCCAGGACCCTGGGATCATGACCTGAGCCGAAGGCAGACGCTTAACCATCTGAGCCACCCAGGCACCCTCAAAGCAGAGTTTTCAGAGGGCCTGAAATTGACGTGTCTTCCAGAAAGTTCCAGAAAGTGATAATCCCACGGCAGGCTCATACTCTCAATGCTGGTTCTGATAGAACTGGGTTTAACGCCAACTCTGACATCACCAGCACAGTGAGCTTAGGCAAACTCCTCACCCTCTTTAACCCACTAATTCCAATTCTGGACATTGCTATCAGACCCTGCTCATCCCCCCTCTTCTGAGTGACTCTTTCTGTACCGAAAACACCCATCTGTAAAACAAGGTTATCGACATATACCATGTGGGGCTGTTGGGAAGGTGTAAGGAAATGGTGCCAGGACTCAGGTGATACTCAGGTTCATTCAGGTGAAACAAAGAATCCAGAGGCTTGCGCTGGTCTTGGAAAGAAGCAGTATTTTAGTCAGTGGAAATACCATAAACAAACTGAAATCAGACAGGGAATGTATTATTTGTGAAGGGCTTTTCACAGAAGTCAACAGGAGGAGGATGAGACACCCACAGATCTTTAACGTGCAGTTTAGTTGTTTGCAAGGTCTATGGGATCTGGAGTGTGGGGGACGATAAGTGATTATGGAATTGATACAAACTGAGAAAGGTAAAGACCAGATTTATGCAAGTGTATACTCCACAAGAGAAGTGTACAAGGAAAAACTACTTAAGGATGCAGGGTTTTTTCCCATATCTGAGGTGAGTGGTGTAGAGAGGGGATTTCAGATGCATTTAAGAAAGGTAATAGTGGAGGTAACCAAAAATGATATTTGAAGCCAAGTGTTTACAATCACTTTACAAGAAGAGTGATTGAAGGGTACTTACGATGAAGCTCGGCATGCTAAGAGCTTGAAACATCTTAACAAAAGAGGAAAGTGAGTCAGAAGAGGCTTGGTTGGGAAGAAGGGCAAGAAAGAATAAAATACATGTGTTGCAAAGGAGATGAGACCTTCCCTTAGTATAATGTTATGATAATAGCAAACATACTTTTCACAACCTGGGATAATTTTTCAGATTTATGAGAAGGATAAACAACTTCTTTTTTTTGTAATATAAAGAAATGGAAGTAATCTTGACATGAAAAGGAGGAGCAAATATCCATTTCTCCCTTTTATGTCTAAAATATTTTATAAAAATAGTGCCATACATTTAAAAAGTGATAATAGCAAAAGCTCTTTCAGGAAGAAGAAAAGTCAAAGGCCTGAAATAACAGAACAGAGACCCAAGTACAGGATAATTCCAATACAATGTGGATAGAAAAGTAATAATGAGAATTGGATAAAAATCAAAGAAAAACAAGTGAGGTTTATATGCAGAATCTCAAGGTGAGAAAATAAACAGAGCTCTACTGAAAGCATCTTCAAGTACATGAGAAGAGGATGAGAAGAGTGGAGAAGAGTGGAGCGCTAAGGTCTTGTTGGCATAATATGTGAACTACTGCACAACTGCCCCAGAAGAGAAACATGGCTACTGGAAGATTTCTCTAGGGAACTGTTTCAGTGAGAGGAACAGGATGTGTACTGAAGCTCACCAAGAAATAAAGGAACAAAATATTTTACAATTAACCTTTTGATTCAAATGGGGAGTAGTGAACCCTCTAATTACTGACATGGGGGGACCCACAGACCCACTGCTGAATGGTATAGGAGTTTTTATGCTGACCAAGAAAACTACTGATCTGTGGGAAAGAAGTGACCAAAGCAGGATCAGCTGTTTGGGGGCCTCTTCTACTTTCTGTTCTCCACCTTGGCAATCTGTCGCAGTGTCTCCGACCCTGGTCTGCTTTCTTCAATCAACATGACATTGTCATTACCAGATTAATCTACCAGATTAATTTACTTGACTAATCTACCTGCTTAATGATTCCAAAGCTCAAATCTAATGTTACTGCTCCCCTCACAAGCCTTTAAATATCTCCCCAACACCGACAGGGTCAAATGCAAACTCATTCACCTAATCTG